AGCAGGTGGAATAAATTTTCCAACGACTCGTGAATCCCTCAAAGAAAATTCTGTCGACGCGGCGATACTGTCTTAAATGAAGTCCTGAATATATTTCCCGAATTATGCTTAGACAAATATTATTATCGTCGTTGCAACAAAGGGGCCCGGGCTTCATTGTGTACCTTCATCCTACGCGCGAGGGTCCTTTCAGGAGGTCACGAGCAATTTCCCCTTTGCCCTCTCTAACTCGCGGACAAAAAAGCGATTTGCATCGTATAAAAGGGTGCCTGATGAAGGTACAAGGATCGAGGCTATTAGTGACAGTGGAAACAACTTAGTTTGCCTGGAATGGTAAGAAATATATAGCAATGTGAATAGAAATATACGGCGACAATTATACGATTGCGAAATGATGATTGTTTCGCGCTCGGTCACGTTAGAAGCGTTTCTCATCGCCGCGAGCGCGTACATTTCTTTTTCTTTTTTTTTTGTCAAAAATGTCGATGAAGTACGATGGCAAATGATATATTTTTATCGGCCGCAAGTTCTGGCGCCGGAAATGATCGGAAGTTTTGCAGGCGAGTCACGTGCGCAAGGATTTGTGATTTTGATCCTAATGTGCCCTACTCCTCCTGGGTGTAATAACTTCTGTCTCGTACAACTTGTCTGGCCCTTGGCGCAATACAACGGTCTCGTTTCAGTAACATTGCTAGACATTGGTCATGCATCTATTTCCGCGAAGTTTTAGAACTCCCCGCAACTTTCTGAGCTGTAGTTTGTCTTCCTTCGCTATTACAAGTTTTCCGGCTTCATTCTTCGAATCGCGCTTCAGCCCCGCTGTCGTTTTGTTTTATCGTCCTTGAATCATAAATCTCTCACCATTTCAATAATGTCGGATTTCTATTCTTATCCCTACGAAGGGATTTTATGCAAATCCGGTCGTTTTTATTCGTGATATTCACAAACGTCATTTATGTCTTAAATATTGCAACGCATTCCTTTTGTTATATTTCTATTGACCAAGCTTGATAACGACACTGCAAATTTAATTGTTTATTTGTCTCCACTGTGTTTATCGTGAACAATCATCGGTTTACACACGGTGACTTGATAAATGTTGCAAATGTTTGTACGGCGTCAACATTGAAGGGAATATATGGGCGAAGGAACGGCAAATTAAACGAACGCAGACGATGCGCTAATTGCGTTTTGCTAATTGCTTTCTTCATCGGGATGAATTATCGGAGTTCGTTCCTTCGATGGGCATTTTTCTCTGTCCGGCGATCGAGTTGGAAGAAAAATCTGCACGAAATACCTCATCAGCTTCTGAATAAATTTCTTATCGCACCTCTCTCGCTTTGAATTAAGTTCGAAGTTGAAAAAGTTCCCGATGAATTCTGTGCCTCGATGGACATGGTGATTTCATGCTGAGCGATTCATTAGCGACGCAGTGTAACGATTATGTCATTATTAGTAAAATTCTCCCTCGTTTCGCCGGACGCGCCACCGGAGAGAAATTCTCATGCACTCACTGGTCACGGGTGCACATTGAAAGTTTCATTTCCAAACGAAATACTCCGCAATAATCTAATGATAGAAGTTTCTTCTGTTGAACCCATGCACATACATTGATATGTAGGGAGTTGGAGTCGTCATTAACGGATCAAATTGGTTTCATTTGACGTACATTGCATTTCGTTATTTCGATTTCATTAGAACCATCGGTTGCGGACACGAATTGCCTTCATAATGATAAAATTTCAATTGTTTCGCGGAAACTTTTTAGAGATACCTTATTTTTACACGATTAATTATTATATCCTACGCATAATCCATCAATAATTTCAATTTATCGAAATGCTTTTTGACAATAAGATTTTTATATAATTTTTACGATAAAAATATTTTGAGATAAAACTTATCGAACGGTCAGTTGCATAGAGAAACGCGCAGAATGCTGGCTGACTGTATATACGCTTGCACTATTGCAATCGTTTTGTATACGTCTGACTATAACCGCTTCTTTGCTACTTGAAAGTCTGACATACACAGCCGCGATCTCCTAACTATGAAAAACGGTTCAAACTTGCATACCTCTTTAAAGTTTCGTGAAAGCAATTGAGAATTTCCAGGAAACTCTCGAGACGTGTATGAGGACGTATATAATTTTCGATTCCACGGACGAATTTTCCTTATTGAATTCAGAACATAACGCGTCCTGTGTATAGACTGTCGATATTTTGCATTATATCTTATACGATTAGAAGACGAAAGCGATTTCGGTTATGTAAACGTAAATAAATTGATTTATAAATAACTAGGCAAAAATATAAACAAGATATATTTACATTTGATATTTGCATTTTTAATAGGGAACATTCGTTCTTTCTGAAAATTTTTTAACATAATTTACGTAAAAGTTAGATATGAAAAAAGTTATGCATTCGTGTCTCTGAAATGGAAAGAGAGCTGTAACTTTGAATTAAAAAATGAAAAGGCATATAACTTTCTACGTTTTCCAATATTGTTCTCTCAAATCCCATAACTTATATTCAAGCTAGTTTTTCCCATTACGCGTATGGGACAGAAATTATGACCGTTTCTATATATGACAATAATTTTAAAAAATATACATATAAATAATATATATACACATATGTATATACTATTAATAATGTTAATATTGTAATTCATGATATACTAACAAATAGGTTTCAACTTCTTGATTTATTTTTTCTTATAAAATGTATCTAGTTACTGTAAAAAATCAAAATAAAAAAATTGGAAATATTTTTTATTTTATTTGTATTTTTTATTTCGCTTTTTTATAGTAACTAGATACATTTTGTAATAAAAAATAAATCAAGAATTTGAATCCTATTTATTATTCGGTAGCATATCGTAAGTTATAATATTAATATTACAATGACATATATACATATATTTATGAATATTACGTTAAATAAGGTTTATTAATTTATTACAAATATATTTCAAACATGCACTTTCAGATTCGATCTTTACAAAATCAATGTTCTTTTTCTTTTAGCTAGAAAAGACATTTGTCCCTATCTTCATTTTTTTTCGCTGAATAAGGTAAAAAAGAAGTTAAATAATGATTCGCGGAAGCTCACATAGCTTTTCATAATGGAGAAAAAATTGTAAAATAAAAGATACATGATGACTCATCTTCTTGCTTAAGAAAAAATAAATTATGCTAAATAAGACGGTTACAAAAATCTATATTTTATTTTTAATGTCATAATTATTTTCACACTATTCTTTTCGATCATATATTTTGTTTATATATATATATATATATATATATATATATATATATATATATATATTATCTTACTCAATATATTAGTTTCAGAAAGTACAATTTTGTTTATAATCGATATGACTGTTATTTTTACTCTATTGTGGGAAAATTAAATTCAGTCGCGAATCAGAGCAAAAAATTAATCCTTTACTCCTCTGAAAAATTTGTTTTTGAATAGCATGCCATATTTTTTTGCAATAGGCGGAGTTACCTTGTTTAGTCAGTTATTTTGTATCGATAAACTTTCGTTTCCACTCTTATCTCATTGTGCTGAATGAGCTAAAAGACTAAAGTGCAAAGTTACAAGAGCATACTTTTCCTTTCACTTAAGTATACATGGTATATATAACTGGCATTTTATCGGGTTGTATCTTAGATAGAATTTAAAATGTAATGCAATGATTGCGCGATAAAATTACATGTGATAAATTATATAATACGTAATTGGAAGCAAGATTATCTAATTGTGCTGAATGAGCTAAAAGACTAAAGTGCAAAGTTACAAGAGCATACTTTTCCTTTCACTTAAGTATACATAGTATATATATCTGGCATTTTATCGAGTTGTATCTTAGATAGAATTTAAGATGTAATGCAATGATTGCGCGATAAAATTACATGTGATAAATTATATAATATATAATTAGAAGCAAGATTAAATTTAGTTTCTCTATAAATAACGTTTATAACAAGAAGAAGTAGGGGAGGTTTCAATCATGCGATTCAATTACCTTTTGACATAGAATTTATGATTGAAACAAGAAGCGTTAATTTAAAATACAATATTCGACAGGTTAATGAAATGGGCTTCATAAAATTTTCGTGCGATTGTGTTATCGCTACACTCGTGATATTTTGACAACAATATACCGACGCTCTCACGGGAGTAAAATCAGGCGTACGGCTGCCTTCTGACGCATGACGGTGCGAATAGCGCGTTCGACAAAGTGCGAAAATCGATTTTCCAGGCTCGCGCGAATGAAAACTTCCGGTCTTTAAAGAGGCTCATTATTTCCCTGCCAGAAACGACCGGTCGTAGACCGACCGGCCTTTCCTCTTCACCCTCGCCGTTCCGCCGCCGCCGTGCCAGCTAGAGAATAGGATTTGGGGTGGAATCGGGGTGGACAAGATTGATAAATTATCGGCTTGAAAAATGCAAAACCGATGCGCGCACACCCACGGATTTCACCGACGCGCGCTCACACACGCGCGTTGGCGGTTGGTGTTGGTGTGACATATCGCACGAGTAAGCCCTTATACGATGAATTCAGGCGGATGCATGTTCTCCACATAAATTCCGACACGAAGCTACGTCGCCTGTCATACAGGATGCGCGGAAAAACTGCGGCCTGCGCCGAGAGTGTGTTCCTCACTTTTATGCCTCGTTGCAACGCGCCTCACGCGTTTAATCGCGTAATTAAAATAGTCTCATTTTGTAGACGACCAATTATATTATCGGCGCAAAATGAAAATTACGTTAATTTTGTTTATTTTCATCGCTCACTGCTTATTTATTTTGTAAATGGGAAAGCTTTGCAACCTCTAACCGCTTTGAAAATACATTACTATCGGGCAATTCGAAATAATAAATGTTTAGATGGGATAATGCGAGCTCTATAATGAGTACATTTATTATTGTGAGTACCTGTAATAATATTCATTAATTACTAACTAAATGTTTTTATCATTTCAGGAGGGAGAAACGAGTATCGCTGTGCATCTATTCATAAGGTTAGCATATGCAAATTGTTTAAATTAAAGTTGTATAATTATTACATAAAGATACGTGTTGCAGCGCGCCGCTTATTTCATTCTCTTTTAATATCCATATTTCGTTACAATTATCGTTATAAATATTATCTCTCGGACATGAGACGTAACGCATTGGGAAAATTGGAAAGCTGCTTTAAACTTCTGCATGATAAATTTCGCAACGGCATGAGAGAAATCTAATACGCGTGACATTCGAAATATATACAGTAACGTCTCTGGATATGCTCGCCGCGAGATTTTGATGCCTCGGGATTTGCGCGGTACAATTTTTTTACGCGCGGGATTTTTTTTGTCGAGCAATCCTCCAGGAGATATATGAAGCGATGTAATTCAATTTGCCGTGTGGCGCTTTTTTTTCGTGATTTGAATGTCGCGGTGAATTTTCTCTCTTGGCAGGCTTCGGTAATTCGCTTGTGAATTACGTATCGTAATGAGATTGGATGCGCGTTTGATCGGCCGTACTATCAATATATTAGTGACAGAGAAAAGAGAGAGAGGGGAGAGAGAGTAAAGGGAATGAGAAGAGAAGTAATAAAGGAGAGCTGTTATAGCGGCATGTAATTATTAATGGAGAATTATGTATAGCTACAAAGAGATAAATGCACTTGCAAAATTAATATGCGCCTGTTCTGCGCATATATTCGTGTTCATATAACTATGTATTTCTTCTAGAAACCGTATGATTGATTGGATTAAAGTTTTTAGTACATTATCTATGCTTTTAAGCAGGAGAGATTAGCTTCATAAAGCCGTCCAAGTTTTTAATTTTATTCCGAGTAAGAAAAAAAAAACTCGAGTGAGGTTATGTGATTCAACAGCCGAGATATAAATAATCATGGATTATTCTTGTTTTTACATGATTAATCATATCGTTGATTGCGTGCAATATCACGTATATTTGTAAAAATATGAGGTCAAAGGTTCAATAATTTGTAATACGATTTATATATCGAGCAAAATCCCTATCGTTAATGGGTGTTTATAATTTGTATAAATTGCACGGGAATTTATAATTGTATGTTTCACAGGAAATACTTCTGTTTAACATAATAAAAAAAATTAATTCTCATTTACGATATTTCTGACATATATGTAATAACATTTGTTTCCACGTCATAAATTAAAATAATGTTTTGTATAATTTATTTAATTAGTTTGAAAAGATATGATTGCATATCTATACGCAGTACGCACATATGTGTATACAAATTAAAAAAAGAAATTAAAAGCAATGTTTTATTATCATTAACATTAATTGTAAAATTATAATATATGCAACTTTACTATGATTGTACATATAACTGAATACATTTAAACAAGCACCTACTTACTTTTTTGGTACCGTATTGGTATGTTAAACAAACATTTAAGTTTTTAATTTTTTTAGTTGCATATATCTTTAAACAAGCACATTTGTTAATTAATAAATAGTTAATTTGACAGTAAACAGGAAAATTAATTTCATTTAAGTTTCACGATACGCGATATGATAATGTAATATTATAATGCCAAACAAAGAAAGCGTAGAATAATATAATACTAATATAATAGTTTTTTATTTAACAATAAATTATAAAGTTCTATACAAATACTGAGTACAGCTAATAATATACATATTTCTGGAATTATAGAATATGTATAAACTCTAATTTTTTTATCTGTTTCATTCTTTCTCTCTCCCTCTCTCTCTTTCTCTTAAATGTTAGACCTATTATTGATTAATAAGAAACACTTATTATCCGGATGTGATTTTGTTTCAATTTCTGAAGTGAATATTGATTGAACGTATGGATGCTTTGACGTATGCAAATAGTAGAAGTGCCATATCGAATATTTTTTTCACTCGCCATCATAAAGGGTAATATTGGCGTAGTACCGAAGGTACGTTTTAGTCGACGAATTCAATATCGCGGATTTTTATTGTTATTGTAAACAACAAGCCAGGCACATTGCTCTTGACGTACCGTGCTATGCTGGTTTCGATGAGGTATTCATTTAATATGCATTACGCTGCAGCGCTGCCTTGATAAGTGCTGATCTGGCTTAAGTCCTCTTTTACACGCCATCGTCGAGCTAAAACGAGAGAAATAAAATTAAAAAAAAAGATGCTAAAAAATTTATCATGGAAAAGTTAAAATGGTTAAAGTTCTTGTCCTGCTTGATATAGTTTCTATAGTTAGTTAACGGAGTTTTAAAGTGATTAAATTTTTTATATTTTCAATTTGCACAAAAAATATTTGGTTATTCTAGCAACAGATGTACTCAAAGCGAATGCAGTTCTTATTATTCTATATTTTTATGAAGCATTTTCATTAAAAGTAATTACATAATATTATAAATATTTAATAAAATCTTAATATTTGGTAAAGCAATTTTGAAGTTATCACGAAAGCAATAAAACTTATTGATTTTTAAATATCTTTTAATGTTTTTTTAGGTTTTTTTTTATATTATTGATTATTGTAGACATGTTTTTCTAAACTATCACTTCAAATATATCTTTTTTATTTGCACATTACTGAATTGTCTGAATTTAATTTGCAATATTGCCTTCATTAATGTTGCGTGTTTACAGTCCAGTACCAATTTACGAATCTTTTTCCAAATGGGTTATTTCGAACAGTAACAAGATTATTCAATATTTCATGAAAAATCGTGACCAAATGAATTTATCTACGCATATATATGAAATAACAATCATCGAACGATCGAAATATATTTGAACGGAATGGTTCCGATGCCTATGTGATTGCAACATTGTCATATGGTCAGTGTTTTATAATAGATTTTCACCAACTTGTAGCTGTTAATATATAATAAATATATAATTAAATATATTGAAATTATGTACTTTATTGGAAGCAAAATTGACTAATACAATGTATGAATTATGCACGTTTTATTATGAATATTATTATTTTATATATGTATATATATATATATATATATATATAAAATAATATTCATAATAAATATTCATTATATATATATATATATATACACAGAAAAAGAAAGAGAGATAAGATAATACAAAATTTTAAAAATATTTAAAATACTCACAGTTATGCATTAGCCATAAAACTTTGGAAACAATTTTAAATATTGAGGTATTTTTAAAGTTCCCAATTCTAAAATATCTCATTATTATATTGGAAAATGATAATCGATTTCTTTTGGTCCTACTTTCTGTAAATATATAAAAGTTATCTACTTAAGACTAACTAGTTACAAAAAGTAAACCGTGTCAGATTTTGGAAGGCACGGTTCAATGCGTTAAAGAACCAATTTTTAGTTTTTTTTTTTTTACCAGTGTCGATATGATCTAATCATTATAAAAAAGGAAATTGGGCAAAGGTATCGTAAGGATATAATAACAACTTTATGAATTGGCTGATTCGAATATTTAGAATTTGATGTAGTATCAAATTTTAGATTTGATAAAATATTTTATAAAAATATCTAAAAAATATTTCGGATTATAACATTTTTTAACATTCAATAAATTCTTGCACCTCAAATTTTACTTTTCTTTGCGTCAACTGAAGAGAACGGATATGCAGAATTTTTAAATAATAATAAGAGATTTGCAAATTATACGTTTAGTTCTATATCCAACAATTACTGTGAGTTATAGCTTCTGTGCTACGTGCGCCAATCTACAATTGACGAGTTAAACGCGCTAACGCGGTAATTCGATCTGTCTCTCCCATGACGGAATATCGGAAAACGGGAGAATACGTGAGTCAGTTCTGAATAACGCGGACAAATACGATTCTTTGTTGTTTCGTTATTTTATTCTGCGATTTTTTTAGCAATCACTTTCTGTTAGGCGCTATGCAGAAAATGTGTATATCTTACAAAAGGTGAGCGCGAATATCGACGCCGGATCCGTTTGTGCAATTAATACAGGACGCTACGGGACTGCAAATGAATCAGGCCTAATTGCATGATTCGATTTTCATCTGACGTCCTTCCCTCGTGCTCTCTAATAATACATACGCGCTATGCAGAGTGCGCGCTATAGCCATCTCCATTAAGCTGATGCTTATGACTTTAGAGATAGCATGTTAGAGCATAACTTTAGCGGATATTCAAAATTAGGTTTAATAGTTCTCACGATAACGATAAACTGTAATTTGTTAATCTCGTGGTACTTGTAGATTTGTCTTTTTTTTAACAGCTATGACGATAATAATTATCTCAATTGCAGTATATCATTATTGCAGTATATATAGTGTACTGCAAAAAGGATATATTAATTAAAGAAATACATTAATGTCTGAATAATAGTATAAATTATTATTGCGCGCGAAATATAAACAAAAAAGTTTATTAATGATTTAATAATTAATTAGATGTATATCACATATAGTCAAGTTAACTATAATAATGCTTATACATTCGCCTTGTCAGTTTCTTACTGTTTTCATTCTAGTTAGTTAGGAAGTTATAGTAAAGTGATATGGTACCGAGGTGATACTATATCTTCCTAGTAAAGGATCGTAAAGCCCTCATCAAGTATTATCCATCTTGCGTGCCGTCTTAATTTGACACCACGCAGCCACGCGGAACTGCCTCCTCAAATTGAGTATTCTCGTAAAGGAATGGAGAAGCGGGCGACGTGGGGTCGCGCCGAAAATGTGGATATTCTACCTCCCGAAGCCGTCCCTGGCACGGTCCCTCATTAAAATAGTTAAGCTCTATTAAGAAGCGGCTAGGTCCAGGGTGCTCTAAAGTAACACGTTCTATTGTACATCAGCCCCGCCGGTGGGACGGCTGATAATAACGGGTGGATATCATCTGGGAAGTTTAGCGTAACTGCAGCTGTGCGAGCTATATTACGTCAGCCTCGTTGATGGGCCCTTATGCCAGATTGCGGAGGGTGCTCGTTAAAGCCGCAAAAGTTTCCAAGTATTTAAATTTCGAACGCATAACGGGGTCTACGATTCTATGATAAA